GGGGGTTGAGAGGATTCACTAGAAACAAGAGTGGGGAGCAGAACAGGCAAAACTACTGAAATACACTAGTGAGAAGAGCTGCAGGCGAGACAGGAGAGGTCTGCTGCGCCATGTGGGTCAGCTCCCTGGCTGGGGATTGAACTCATGCTGCAGCGGCTGAAGATAGCTTCATAGTGCTGTGCTTTAACTCATTGCGCTACCAGGGAGGGCCCACACCTTGGTCCCTGTTCCAAGTTTTAGGGATAGAAACGTAAGCATATAAATAGAAAAGACGATATGGTCCCTGATCTGCCAGAGCTCACCTGCAGAATAAAACAGCACAATGCAGAAAGGCGTTAGAGGGCCGTGTCCCTGCTTGCCTTTGATATTCAGTGAACAAAGAAATACCTGTGTGAACAAGGAAGGGAAATATCCTCGCCCAAGTGCTGAGTAGACAGGTGGCCTGGGGCTGGTCAGCAGGGGCTGTCTGCTGGCCCTGCCTAAGAGACGAGGTCAGCAGAAGCTATCCCACCCCTCCCTTTCTTATCTCCTCACTGCACAGCTAAAGAGCTTTGACCAGTTCACCTGCAACCTGCTGTACGTGAGCTGGAGGAAGGCCCTCACAGAGCATCTCCATCGTCTCTACTTCCGGGGCCGCGTTTACTACACCCTCAACGTCCTGCGGGATGACATCGACAACCCGTAGGCGCCCCTTCAGTCCTTGCTGCCTTCTGCAGGGTGCTGTCCATCTGGCTCAGCTCTGTCCTCTGCCTCGTCCTGAGGCAGACCCCACGGAGCTTCTCCCCACAGTTCTCTACCAGTGACTGCCGAAGACTGTGGGGAGGAGGTCCCTAGGTGGGCTGCAGGGCTAACAAGGAGCTAAAAAACAGGAGCATCTTCTTTTTCTTCATTTCATGCCCTGGGCTTCCAAGTGAGGCACCTTCTGAAGAAAGTGCCCTTGCTCAGTTGTCAGACTTGGGGCAATTAGAAAAAAAAGACTGCGGTCTGGGACGAAGCAGTCTATGATGTAGCAGTATAGGACATAGCAGTCTAGGGCTTATATTCCCATGTCACCTCCCACTTGATGGCTTTTCATTAAGCTCCATGCTCCTTTCTTTGTGAGTAATAGTAATAGGGCCTGTCTTAAGGGATATAATGAGTATGAAGTAATTCTTGCAGCACACATGTTCAGTGCCTGGCAGATAGCTAGTGTTTCCATGTCAGTGCTGTTCTACAGATGAGGATGTGGAGGCCCAGAGAGCTCACAGGGTTGTGTTTCATTGGTAATAGGAGTCAGCGTGGGTGGGTGCTTGTGGAATCTCCACTCACTCACTGGCCACTCTCCCAGGCACCTCGTTGCCAGAAATAACTTTTCCTCAGCTGATGTTGAGTTTTACAGCAAAGATTGCTGGGTGGCTGCCACTGCCACTTAACATGTAAGCTTGTTCTCCACAGCTTAATCCTGTGAAGCTTCCCCGCCAAATACTCAGGTGGGAGCAGGTCAGACTTAGGAGGGAAATTGGGAACGGCTAATGGGGCTGCTTTCCTGATTATCCAGAAACTCAGCTCATCTTCCCTCGAGTTGGACTGCTGAATACTGGCTAAGAACTCCCCGGGTGCTGAGTCTTTCAGCTGCCACTTTTTCTGAGGGATAAATGGAGGCACCAGAAGACCAAAACTCTCCATAGCCCTGTTAAACCAGTCCTGAGGGTCTGGATGCCTCTAGAAACCCAGCCCTTGTCTGTGTCCATCCTCCCACTGTCACCACTGGCAGCACTGTGAGGTCAGGCAGGAGGTAAGGTGAGACTGTCAGCCTTCTCACCTTCCCAACCCTTGAGCCCAGCTCCTGGTTCAGTCACTGCCTCACTGGCTGCAGGGACCAGCGCATCAGCCAGGATGTGGAGCGATTCTGCCGGCAGCTCAGCAGTATGGCCAGCAAGCTGATCATCTCCCCCTTCACCCTGATCTACTACACCTATCAGTGCTTCCAAAGGTGAAGTCTCCCCTCTTCCTGGGGCCCCTCCTCCCCAGCCCCCCCAGCAGTCTCCCCAGAGGCCCTCACTCACAAGTTAGGGCGGAGGTCAACTTCCCCATGTGTGGGTCTTCCTCGAGCCCTTCACCTCCTTTTGGCCTTGTGCTTAAGTGTCACAGGGATCCTGGTGCTCTGACAACTTAGACCCCGTGTCTGGAGTGCCCTCCTGCGGGAGCAGAGACACCCCCCACCCCCAGGACAAGATTGAACAGAGGCTTTGGAAGAGGGCGGAGACCTGCAGAGACATGGGATGCCCACACCCACCCTCTGCCTTTCAGCACAGGCTGGCTCGGCCCTGTGAGCATCTTTGGATATTTCATCCTGGGGACCGTAGTGAACAAAATATTGATGGGACCCATTGTGGCGAAGCTGGTGCAGCAGGAGAAGCTGGAAGGGGATTTCAGGTGTGTCTTACTGGAAGTTTCTGGGATGGCCATAGTGATTAAGGCATAGGACCCAGAGGAAGACCAAGTTCACACCCCAGATACCCATTTTCTTGCTCTGTGCTCTTGGGCAGTCTCTAGCCTCTCTAGACATAGCTTTTTCCCATCTAAAATGGTTGTGTGCTCAGAAAATTTCGAGGATTAATGAAATTACATGTGAAAAGCATTGAGAACAGTACCTGGCCTGCCTTCATTGTTACCTCAGGGTGGTGTGATACACTTCTGGTCCAGCCACTATTTCTGGGCAACCAGTGGGTCTCTCCCCTGCTCTGCACCTTGGCTCCCTCCTAAGGACACAACCCTGGGGGAGTTCTGTGGCTAGAGAAACGCCTGTTCTTGCTGGAGAGAATTGAGGGACCATGTCACAGGCAAGGTTCCTAACTCCCCAGCCCTGGGATTCCCCACCCCGGTGGCAGTTCAGGGAAGGGTCAGGCCAAAGGCAGCCACAGTTTCAAAACGGGTCCAGGCTCCTCTGGAGGTGTCCGTGGGCCAGTGCTCTCAGAGGAGAGGGCCAGGGCCGCCTGGCGTCAGCGTGCACCTCCCTTTGGCCTGCCCAGGTTCAAGCACATGCAGATCCGGGTGAATGCCGAACCTGCTGCTTTCTACAGGTGAGTCGAAAGGGGATTGTTCCCCTCCTGCCTTATCAGAGCTGGTAGTGAAGGGAAAGGAGCAATACAACCCTCCCAACCGCCACCTCCGGACCCAGGGCCCACACGTCCTTACACAGGGCAGCGGGCTCTCGCCCCTCACTGAGCCGTCTACCTCGGCCTTCCGTTCCATTTGCTTCTGAAGTTGCTGGTTTCTTTTAGTGATCATTATGGGGCTTAAAGAATGAAATGAGTGAGTGGTTCACTACCTGGCTGGCCTCTCTTGCTTTGCCTCTGCCTCTTCTGCCTATAAAATGGCTTTCTGCCAATGCCTGACATCCTAGGCTATTCTTTATCTCTGTGGGAAATCAGGAAATCAGGCAACCTGCTTGCGCCCCATGGATGCCACGTGGCTGATCTCCTGACAGCAGTGTTATGAAATCATTTACCTTCCCTCAGGGCCAGGACAGGTGCATGCGAGGCCTCTGTTGCTGGTGATTGGACTGAGAGCACAGCCCTCAAGGTCGAGGAGTGGAAGCGACTCCTCTGTACCTGGGTGGGTCTCCGAGCCCTGGGACATTGGCCTGATCAGTTTCTGCTGCCTTTCGCAGCTGCTACCACTAGGGGGCACCAAGCGTCTTTGAGCTGCGGTTCCTGGGCCTGAGCTCAGTTTTAGATTGTGCCGGCTGGGCTCTGGAAGCTGTAGGGAAAGCAGGCTGGCTTTTGGAGCTCAGGTGGGTTCTGCTGGAGCCCTTCAGGATAGCCCTGAAGACACACGGCTAACAGCGCTTCCGGTGTCCCAGGTGAAGAATGCAGTGTGTCGCAAAGATGCCCTGTCTGCAAAGGGGGAGCGTCTCAAGGGCAAGGACTGTTCTGTCCACCTCTCTAGCTACCTAGCTAGCACAGAACCTGCCACAAAGTGCCCGCCACGAATACTCTGTAAAGCTGAGGACCCCCGGGGTGCCAGCACTTTGTATCCAGAAATTCTTACTCTCGCCCAGTATAGGTATTATTAGCTCCATTTAACAGATGAGGGAACAGACTCCTAATCTGTTAGCGCCTCCCAGCGAGTGAGTAACTAACTGCCAGGTCTGCCCAGTTAGAGTTCCTGTGCTTCCCACGTTCACTTCATACCACGTTGAGTACAGCCGTGAACGGCTGCGAGGGGCAGGACCGTCTCCGGTGAAGGTCACCGGGATGGCGTGTGCCCTGGTTGAGTGTGAGGAGGGACAGAGGGTCCCTGCCTGTCCCAGGCGCCCCAGCCCCGTGGACATGCCAGCCTTTCTCCTCAGAGCTGGGCACGTGGAGCACATGAGGACAGACCGCAGGCTGCAGAGGCTGCTGCAGACCCAGAGGGAGCTGATGTTCGCGGAGCTCTGGTTGTACAGTAGGCAGAGGGAGCCCCAGGATCAAGGCCACCCCCCCCTTCCTGCACCGCCTGACTTCTCTGCATTGATAAATTTGCTCTGATGAAGGAAATAGCTGGGGGGAGCCACTGCCTTTGCCATGTGTATCCTCAGGAGCCGGGGATTCAGGGAACAGCTCAGCCCTGCCAGGCTTCCTGCCCCTTGGGGCACACAAGTGGCCCCGGGCCTCAGACACTGCCTCTTCCGCAGTCGGGGTCAACACATTTGACTACCTGGGCAGCATCCTGAGCTACGCTGTGATCGCTATCCCCATTTTCAGTGGTGTCTATGGAGACCTTAGCCCCACAGAGCTCAGCACCCTGGTGAGCAAGGTGAGAATCCTCCCTGGTGACCCCCACTAGCCACCCCCATCCCTCGCTCTGCACCCAGGGCCCGGGAGTGGAGGCCTGTGCTCACTGCCCTCTTCCCGCCCAGAACGCCTTTGTGTGCATTTACCTCATCAGCTGCTTCACCCAGCTCATCGACCTCTCCGCCACACTCTCGGATGTGGCCGGTTACACACACAGGTGAGGCTGCATCCGGCCCCCTTTGTCCCCCCACCCCACCCCCACTAGTCCCTGAGCAAAGCGTGTGCCACTGGGAGAAATGGCTGAAGGGGAAAAGGAACAGAAACCCCACCACATACGGGTGGGCTGAGAGAGAAGAAGTAGTTTCGCCTTCACGTGGCCCTCCAGACCCTCCTCAGGTTTCCACATCTTGCCCAGGATTGGGGAGCTTCAGGAGACCCTGTTGGACATGTCCCTGAAGTCCCAGGATGATGAGATCCTGGACGAGAGCGAGTGGTGAGTTCTGGGCTGGCGGTGTGGGGTGTGGGCGGGTAAGTGCTGGGCTGGCGAGTGGGGCCTGGGCTGGCGGTGTGGGGCGTGAGCAGGTGAGTGCTGGGCTGGCAGTGTGGGGCCTGGGGTGTGGGGCCTGGGGCCTCGGCCTCCCGGCCTCCCTCGGTTTAGCCTGGAGCCCCGCCCCCTCCCAACTGGGCAGGGGAGTTGTACTCAGCAAATGAATGCCCCCAGCAGTTGCTGTCTGTAGCCCTCTTGCCTTCCGCACCCTCCCTGGGCCACTCGCCTGCAGGGCCTGAGAAGAATCAAGCATCTGAGTCGCATCTCTCCTTTCTCCCTGCTCCTGAGTCCTGCCAGCTGCCCTCCCTCTGCCATCTGCTTGTTGCCCAGACCCCGCTCAGACCAGCCAGGGCTCTGCGTCTCTGCAGGCTCTGTGCATTGAGGATTGGCTGCCCAGTGGGCACATGACTTAAGTTTCTTCACCTCCGAAAAGGCAGTACTAGCCTCCCTTTTTGGGTTGTCACAGAGATAGAGCCATAATAGTTCACGGGAAGTGCTTGGACAGTGGCCCCAGAGTCAGCTTTCAACACGGAAGCAGGCTGAGTGTCGGAATTCCAGCTCTCG